AGTGTCTGGACAACAGGATTTCCCAAATCCCAGCTTTATAAGCCAGATTTCATGGGAGAACATGGTAAGTGTTCTCTGTAGTTTATCAAGGTAAGAAGGGGTCTTACACCTCTGACCTTGCCTTTTGTAAGGCTACACTTCCACTAATATGACAGATCCAGCTTCTTGGCATGTGAGGGGGAGGATGTCTTGGTCATCTCCTTGAAGAGTCTGTTTTACCAACTGCTCCCACCATCAGACCTTTGCAGGGGTACGTCCCAGACAGACAAAAATAGATGCAAACGCTCCCCTGAAAATTTCACAGTCTGCTTCACTTTAGAGGAAAGTCACTTTAATGACTTCCTATGGTTAAGGAGAAACAAATCTAAGCAAATCTCTCTAGATCTACAGACACCTTAACTGTCTGGGAGATTTGATGACCTTCGGACTGACTTTTTTTTCCTTTTTTTTTCCTTTACTTGTTTCAATAAATAAAGTTACACATGTTCAGGATTCCTATTTTCTTTAATTTTAATTTTCATTATTCACCATGCAGTCAATCTTAGAAAACTACCTTTTTTTTTTTTTTTTTTTTTGGTTATTCAGATTTTCTGCTTTCATCACTAAACTCCTGACATAACCATAATATACGTTGAGAAAATGTTGTAGAGCCAACTGTGTAACCTCCTGCCTTCAGATCAGCATGATATCGTATCTTCTCCCCAGTCTGCACATACCAAAACATGCCGGGATAGACGTACTTTCAGTGCTTCGTAATGACCAGATTTTTGTATGAACTGTAGGATTTACTAGGACTCTAGCATAAACTGATCTGTATCCCAGAGGCAGACTGCAAAAATTTGGCTTTGCTCACAGCTGTGGAACATTTGGAGCCAAATAGTTGGTTAGTACATTCCAAAGACAGGAAAAAGTCATGAAATTCACATGTGTTTCGAGATCCAAATTCCACTGTCATATTGGCATCTGCAAAATTGGACTTGTCATTTGGGACTATCTTTATTGTATGCTTTTCTTCTTCAAGGGAGGAAGGAGTGTATACCCTGTCCTTTCACCCAGCTATCTGCCCTGGCTCTTGCAGCATGGAAGGGCTACAAATCCATCAGGCTTAACCAGTGAGATATTCTTTAGACCTGGAGAAGAAAACAGTTGTCATCAAGCTGTCGAAGCTGGCATCCATGCCACCCACCTTGGCAACTTTTGGGTCATTTACTGTGTTGGGGATAGAACAGGCCACAGCAGCAGCAGTTTACACTTGGCTATTATCCACCCGTAATCTCTCCTGAGGGCAAGGAGTCAATCTAAATACAGAAATCTCTAGAAAAAGGGGGATGCAATCAGGTCCTTTGCAAATTTACTTAATCTGGCACCAGTAAGCAGCACATCTGAAAATCCAGCTTGAAAGCTTCACTACAAGTAGGGATCCAAGCTTGCAACCAGCACAATGGTTTTAAATTTAAGTAAAGAAAAACATTTGGAATATGCTAATTGCATCAAATCTCTGGCAGGTTTTGAAAAATGTGATTCATCAAGAACTCTGAAATGTAGCATTTCCTTTGTTTGCAAAACGAGAGATCTTAATCTGTTTAGGCTTCCATTGCAGACTTTCTTCCATCCACAGAAATCCCTCCCATCTGCTCCAGCATAATTCTTTTACTTAATTGACTTATTTTCTCTAGGATACTGATGTGACTGAAATATTTTGATCTGATTTTCCTTTGCTTCTGACCTCACTCTTACATTTGTACCCATGTGAAGCTTGTAACTGTTGTCAACAATGCTTCTTCCTTTTGCTATTAAATCATTACGTCTGCTGTAGTCAGGATGATCAATACTCTAGCAGAAGAATCTGAAACACGTTAGAGGTTCATCAGAGGAGAAACACTCCTTTTTTTCCCCATCTCTCTTCTTTCTACCAGAGTCTTATAAAGCATTCAGAAAAATGAACAATATATTTTATTTGCATTCCATAACTTTACACTTTCTTTTCACTTGGGAATGAGGTGGAAAGAAAGTCTAAGAGTAAAATTTTAAAAGTACCTTAGAGTACATACATGCGGTAGAATATGATACAAAGACTTAGTAAATCAACATCTACCTGCACTGACCCAGGTAGGTGGCTACTGGTTTCAGGGTTGACTCAGTTTGCAGGAAATCTGGCTGTCTACAAGGTTTGCTGTTGCATGGAATTGAAATGCTCTCAGAAGCGGAGATACAAGTCTGAATTCTTAAATATTATATATAGGAGCTTGAGGGCATGTCTAAAATAGATTTAGAGTTTTTTATTAGCATTTCATTTTTTACGGATGACATGGAAGAAGAACGAAGAGGTTGCAAGAAAATTTTCCTCTTCTGCAGGTTCAGTGATTGGGTTTACAAAGGCAGTCGGATGCCTACAGGTGCAGAGAGGTGTCTAGGGGGACTTCCAAAAGCACCTTGGAGAGTGACATCTCACTGAACTCTGAAAGAAGTGAAATTCCAGATCTGTTCAAGTGCTTTTCCAACAGCAGCAAAGAACTTCTTCGCACTGCTAGACATGTAATTATAAGAAGGCCCCCAATTAGTTGCAGATGGCCAGCCAAAGGGAAAGGGATGAAACGTTTTGCATTTTAATAAATCTGTTCTGCTTCTGGGCTAGGAAAGGTTTTGTTTTTCTGAGCAGATTTTCCGGCTGCAGCTCTGACTCAAGTTACTCTGGCTCAGAACTGTGCTGTCTCAGTATGGCACTACACACCAGTAGTAAATAAGGGCTGGTGAGTGGCAGTCTCCATGGAGGGATTATTTACCCAGTGACATGATGTGTGTCTTCCCGTGGTGATGCCACTGTGTCATTTCCGTAACCCCTTCTACCCCCACTGGCTTCCCCTGGGGAGACGAGATGATGCTCTCTGACGTGTTGACGGTTCATCTTAAAGAGGGAACTTCTAACAAGCTGGTGCCAGGCAAATGGGGCTGCTGCCTATCATACAAACTATCACTGCAGGTATTTTTTTCCTGTGAATGTTACATATTAGGGAGTGCTGAGAAAATTACACTTACTGAAAGAGTCTAATTACAGCGATTTGTAGAGAGAGAGTTAAAGGATGCATGTCAAAAGGGACAGATTTATAATTACGATAAGATCAGTTGCAACTCCTGTGCCATTTAATTACTCAAAATGGGTGGCGTTGTGCAACCTTTATGAAAGCCAGCTACTTTGATAACAAAATGATATCACCTTAATACGAAATAGAAATACATTGAAAGTAAAATGAATATACTGGCAGGACTAATAATCAAAGAGGCATCACTCAATGTGCTGAAAAGCCAGCGCAAACAGAAACCCACCAACCATCTCCAACGCCAAGTCTGTGCTACACATTTGGCTCACACTGTGTCAGAAACTGAGATGCTGTGTGTGGTGCCTAAACTGGTGATCAAAATCAAGACATCAGCATGATAAGAAGAGAGGCAGAAGAAGTGGAGGAAGAAAGGAACACAAAGAGGAAAGTAATAAAAATGGGAAAGAGCATAAACCTAGCAATCAAAGTGTTAAACTCTTCCGGAGTTTTGAGTGTCTCCATGTGTTGAGCTTGCTCTGGATCCTCTGAGAGACTCCAAACCCTGAGCTGCTGAGTAGGTGCTGGACCCTCTTGGATTCAGGCGCTCAGACATATTTGAGGACTGAGGTCTTTCTATATTGGTTTCATACTGGTTGTGTTACACTGATAAAACTGTCAGCAATACTTGATATAAAGAAAATGTTCAAGTTATTACAACTGTGATGAAGAAAATCTATTAAGTAATTTAACTACACAGAAACCATACCTACTATAACATAACGCCATCTGTTGACAAATGTCCTGAACTCTGGAAAAATCTAATTTTTCCATTCATTAGAAATGAAAATCCTAGCACGTTCATGCGCAAGTCAATGGACCTGGTGGTAGGTCCATGCTCCTCAATATGGTGTAGCCTAGCAAAACGAACTGTTATTTGAACAGTGACATCAACAGCTTGTCAGTTATTAGAGGTTTCCAGATTTTTGTGGCCACCACAGGGAGACACCAAAACCTTAATGGACTTTCATGGATACTGCATTCTTGTCAGTCTTGTGATGGAAAATAAGACTGACTAAAAAGTTTAATCTTATTCTATTGACTACCTGACTACTGGCCAGGCTGGATCAGGCTTTGAGCAACCTGGGCTAGTGGGATGTGTCCCTGCCCATGGCAGGGGGTCCCTTCCAACCCAAACCATTCAGTGATTCTATGATTCAGTAGAATTTAATAGAGATTGTGACTTTGTCCTCTGAGCGTGACCTTCCAAAGCAGTTCTGCTGAAGTTCTTCCCTATCAGAAAAGGTTCCCTCATACCTACATCCTAGCAGCTTCCTGGCCTCTGCGGCTGCAGTGTCTCTGTTTTATGTAGTGTTGCTCAACCAAGTCTGAAGTTCACTGAGTTGTCTTTAATATCCAACTAAATTTCACTGAATTAATATTTTAAATCTGCTGAAGGTTGCCTTTTGGTCCTTTGTGTAGCTTGTTGGTGTTGAACGTCAAGGAGACAAAAGGAAATCTGAGTTTGTGAAGGTGATCATGATTTTCACTGACAAATCCATCTGATTATAATAAAAATGTCAGAACTAAACAACTTGAGAAAGAAGACTAAAATGCTATTTCAACTTTGCAATCACTTGATTTTTTTCTTGTTTCTTTACGATGATGCAATGTAGGATCTGTTAAAAATCTTATCTAGTTTGCAAGGAGCATGGCTGAAATGATTAGCAGGATTTCCACGCAAGACTGTAAAGGTTTTTTCCATCCTGGAATTTTACTTGATGAGATTAAGGTGTGAGAAATAATACAAGGCATGCCATGAAACCTGTCATCTTCCAAAAAAAAAAAAAAAAAAAAGAAAGAAAGCAACACTTGCCAACAAGAAATAAGCCAACAAAATATCCACGGAGTGCACTGCTGCCCAAGCTGGCAGAGCAGTCCTGACCACATTTCTGGCTTTCTTACCTTCACTGCAAACTCTGTTTCTGTAGCTTTATGAACACACCTCTTGCACACTGAATAGGAGCCGATTCCTATGTCCTCCTTGATCTCGTACCCATCTGTAAAGTGAATGTTGTTCCCGTGTAATTGCTATAGGGAAGGACAAAAGAAAGAAGGTAGTCAGGACATGAGTATATAAAAGCAAGGACTAGGCTCATCTTAATAAAGGAAGCGCTTGATCTCATCTCCTTCACAGATCTCCCTTGTCCTTAGCAGTTTTTCTAAGACCAGTTAAAAAAATCTGAAGCTCTTTGCTTAAACTGGGCCACTAGAGGTCTTGTCCAGCATACATTTAATTATGATTTCTGTGTGAGAGAAAAGTTACTATTTTAAGCCAAGCTCATTTAAGAAAACATATTACTAGTGCAAATAGTAGGAAAATACTTTAAAATTTCTAATTTTATTTATTGAAGGTTATAGAATGAAATATGGCATCATTAGTTCATATGCCCTTTGGAAAATGTGTGGACAGATGGCAAAACTCAAATCTGAAGCCTTGCTGCAAATTCCATCTCAGTACTCAAGAAATGACCAGCAGCTCTAAAAATCCTCAAGGATCCTCTGTCTAAAAATATAACCTCACTAGCAAAGTCCACCCAGGACCTTCTAAATTATAAGACATGCATGTGTTAACATCCAATGCAGCTTTACAAAGCAAACCACAGGAATATATATAAAATTTCTGGGATGTAATTTCTTGGGTAATGTTTCACTTACTGTTGCATAAGAGAATCTTTAATAATTTGATATATTCCACTGTAAATTATTAAAATAGGGATGAAAACTGTGAAAACCTATGAAAACTACAGCCAGGGGCTCTCCTCTTGAGGCATGTATACCTCTGGCTATGGGTAGGAGAGGGGCTTTTTCCTTGTGGGAAAATTTGCTGCATCTTTGAGCAGCCCAGTTCTTTCTCCTGATTCACTGTTCCTCTGATGCACTGAGCCACTTCGGAGCAATTGATGCTCACTGAAATACCAGTGAGCATGCTGAGGCAGTTTAAATACATTCTGCACATATGTATCTGCCATCAAATGTGAAGTGCAACATCAGGATCAGTACCTGCACAATTGGATGGACGGTGATTTTGTGCACATCTTGCTGTGCAGGCTCCTGCACCAAATTAGAGGCAACGAAGCTGAACCCTCTGAAAAGATGATGAGCATTGGCACTTGGAGGAACGCCTGGGGAATCTGTAGAAGGAAGCAAATGGCCTCATGAGCTGCACAAAAGATCAGAAAGTAACAGCACAGCACCTGCAACAGACAATGTCACCCCTGCCACTCAACAGCAGATCCTGCTAAGCTGGCACACACGTGTGAATATAACCCAATTCCACATCAAGGCTTTGGTGTGCCTTCTCCATCCCGTTCCTCTGGATCTGAACAGTGCAGGGGTATTGTTTGCAAGGATCTCTCCTCTTGGATACAGAGATATTTTTCACAGTGCATGTGCATTCTTAGGCAAAGCACTGCCTGTGCCAGGAGTCTGCACAGAGAGAGAAGGCACAGGATGGTGAGGCTACGAGAAAGATGGATGGCTCAAGGCAGGGAACCCCTTTGGCTTCCTGCAGATTCTCCAGGGAGTGGAAAAAAGCTGCACGATGCTATATCTGCCCTTTGCAGAACACCTTGACTACAGAAATTTCAAAGGCTAAAGTGCTTTCTGGGTAATTGTTGTGGTTTGACCCAGCTCCAATACCACACAGCTGCTCACACACCCTCCCTGTTCCCAGGGATGGG